GTACATACAGCTCACATTTATTTCAATGTTTAATATAAGAAGTGTTTGGATGTGGTGGCTCACGCCTGTAATCCCAGCACTTTGGGAGGCTGAGGCAAGTGGATCACGTGAGGTCAAAAGTTCGAGACCAGCCTGGCCAACATGGCAAAACCCCACCTCTACTAAAAATACAAAGTAAGTAGCCGGGTGTGGTGGCATGCGCCTGTGTAATCCCAGCTACTGAGGTGGCTGAGGCAGGAGAATCACTTGAACCTGGGAGACGGTGGTTGCAGTGAGCTGAGACTGCACCATTACACTCCAGCCTGTATGACACAGCAAGACTCTGTCTCAAAAAAAAAAAAAAGCTTCGAGGACTAATGACAAGAAAATTTTAAAATAAAAATAAATAAAATTTTTTAAAAAAGTGTTTTGGGCCGGGCGCGGTGGCTCATGCCTGTAATCCCAGCACTTAGGGAGGCCGAGGCAGGTGGATCACGAGGTCAAGAGATCGAGACCATCCTGGTCAACACAGTGAAACCCCGTCTCTACTAAAGCTACAAAACATTAGCTGGGCATGGTGGCGCATGCCTGTAATCTCAGCTACTCAGGAGGCTGAGGCAGGAGAATTGCCTGAACCCGGGAGGCGGAGGTTGTGGTGAGCCGAGATCGCGCCATTGCACTCCAGCCTGGGTAACAAGAGCGAAACTCAGTCTCAAAAAAAAAAGTGTTTTGGGTCTTTATTTAGATGCTTGGTGATGTTTTTGTAACCAGAAATATGTCACAGGAACTTAACTCTTGTTCATTATCAATTAGCCTATGGTAAAATTGGTTTCATTATAGTAATTTTGCTTAAGTTACAGTTTCCAAAGAGGAATTACTATACTTGCCTTTCTCCTAGGTATGCCTACTGACAGACACTAAGGTATACCTATTTTAAGGTATACCTACTGACAGACCCTAAGCCAGTTTGTAAAAACATTTAACCACTACAAAAATTATCTGGAAAATAAGAAGAGAGGTTTTTGTCTCTCTCCAGGTCATTTTCTTTTTTCTTTAGTGAGATGGAGACTCGCCCAGGCTGGAGTGCAGTGGCCTAATCTTGGCTTACTGCAATCTCCGCCTCCAGGGTTCAAGCAATTCTCCTGCCTCAGCCTCTTGAGTAGCGGAACTACAGGTGAAGAAGTTTTCGTCTCGTTCCACATTAAGAATTAATTTTGTATTAGTTAATGTAGATGGCTGGCCGATTCCTAATTGCTTTTAAAACGTTCCAATCTGTAAAGAGATTAACTTTACAGTGTGTTTCCTCAGCATTTCTCTTGCGTTGCTAACATTGAAGAGTCTGTGGTTCGCAAGTAAAAGAAAAAACAAAGGCAACTCCATTTCAAAATGAAATAGACAATATCCCATCCCTCCCTGACGATTTCAGTTGCCAGAAGTTATCCCCTCTTCCTTGGCTACAAGTTATATATTTGTTATTAGAGAGTAGTCACTGATTCCTACAGAAGTCCTGGAAATTCTGGGCTCATAAGAGAGAGCAGGCCCAAGTACTATCAAGAACAGGTGGCTAGAATTCTGCTAGAATTTCTAGTCAGGAGAACTTGAAATACATCAGTCATCAGGACTATCACCTGATAAGAACAGTATTTTTTTTTTTTTTTTTTTTTTTTTTTTTTTTTTTTTTTTTGAGACGGA